AAAACCACGGTCAAAACACTCCCGATAAAAAATAAAATAATTAAAATTATAGGCACCATCCTTTGTCTCTAATCATCTGTGGTCGTAGTTGTTCGATGAGAAGAGCTTCTTTGAACTTTCTGTCAGTGTACTTAGTGGCTATTTAGGATTTGTACGAAGAATGGTTGTTTCAAAGCAGTTGTAACTTGTCCATGATTAGTTAAAATATGATCTGCAACTATGCTTCTTTCATGTTGTTGTTTATAAAGAGCGACAATATGTTCTATCCTTGTGTGTAGGGTTCTTAGTGTCTAATTAAATAAAAAAACATTTTGGTGTTATAAGGTCGTTTGTTTCTGGTATTAATATGTCTTCTATACACCAATATGCACTACAGAAATTAAATATTGTGTTTTGTACTTGTTATTACTCTCATAAGAGAAATTAGTGTGCAGAGAATACACGGTATACCTGTATACTCATTACGGTATTAAAAACGAAAACTCCGAAAAACACAGATTTTAAGATATCTACATAAAACAACAAAACAGCTAAAAAAGTACACACCGATTAATAAAATAAACACTGAAAAGAAGAAGCCCTAGACAAACTACATGAAATGCAGCTGCAACAGCACTTACCAACCACTATTGGACTACTTGTGTCCTGATTCTGAATCCGGCACGCTAACCACCAGGTCACGCCTGGCCCGGGTACAAGTTGAGATACTTATTTCCATTATCTCAGTGATATATACTTTACCAGTCATCCAGGTACACAGTTAATCTGCAGGCAGTAGACAGAATGGGTTAGGTTACATTTGTGTGTTAATACTTACTACCCTGAACGATGGATAACCGTGGGTCAGCTAGGTTAACAGGAACCATATCTTTCAGCCAGTAAACACTAGGTGATGGGTTACCCTCTGCCTGACAGTATAAGTTTGTTGTTCTTCCCTTCTCTACTCCCTGCATCGTAGGCTGCATAGTAAACTGAGGGAAGCCTACAGGGATATCGTCTTCTGTGAAGAAAACATGAAACGTTATTCTTAAAGTGTTAAAAAAAACTATTTCATTATTCGATATATGTGTTGATAATAAATAGAAAACATTTTACTAATATGAGAAGAGACTGATGGGCAGTTATTCATTTTTAAATGTTTAGTACTAATTGGTACAAATTTTGATAAAAAGTTTAGAAAAAACTGTTTACACTCCAGATATATATATATAAAATACACATTTTTAAAATTTTAACCAACGTTTCGCCTTTGCAGCTTCTTCGGGGTTAACATTCACAACTGTTTGATATTAGAATAGCCGTTAGATTTAATTTCATTTAACGACTATTCTAATATCAAACAGTTGCGTATATTAATCCCGAGGAAGCCGCAAAGACGAAACGTTGGTTTTAAATATATATATATATATCTGGAGTGTAAAGGTCGTTTTTTCTAAACGTTTTATCAAAATGTCTAAAACCCTCCAGTAATGCACTACAAATTTGGAAAGACAACAAATAATTGGTACAAAGCCATTATTTGGTAGCCAAAGTAAAGTTTCGATTTTCATACGTTACAAATTCATAATTGGTTAAAAAGCCCTTAAAGAAAATAAACTTAAAAATTGCAAAAAGGATATCAAAAGTAGTTATCGTACTTAAAAAAACAGGCCTGCGAATTTAAACTTCATAAAAGTTGTTTTGGTTTAAATAAGCTGATTTTCCATAATCCAGATACGCAGATTTCGACAATAATATTGAGTTTTTTTCTATCACGTAAGAATTTTGTACTCTTACTTAGATCAAATTGTTATTTCGTTTACCACAATGAACATTTTTTATTATTATTGTTTGTTAACAAAAATACAAACGAATCTGCATCCTCATTCATCTAGATTTTTTTTGTGAAATCTACGTAATTTAGTTTCAAAACTACTTGTTGTGGTCTTTTTTTTTTATATGTACCGCGTTATGAAGTTTTGTGAAAAATCTGTACGTGATGGAGAAAAATTTATATCATTTTAGGATTCAGCGTAAAGGAATTACTGTAGAACATGTAAACATTTCAAGACAATAAAACCATCGTAGGCCTACATAATCCAAATGTTTGGAATGCGCTTGGAATAAATATTCCGAGACGCCACATAAAGATAAAAAAATATTTAATATAGTTACTACTTTTACTTATAATGATTAAAAGTTATTGTCATAAGATTGCTTTAGTTATTAGTTATCTGCTTTATACGTCAGCGAGTTATTTACTTCTAAGTCCACTGTAAGAAATATTAACCAATTACCGAATAGTATATAAACGATAACATTTCAGTAAAAAATATAATACGCATGTATTTTTATAGCGAAGAGGATGAGATACAGTAAACGGCCAGTGAAAATTCACGGTAAATAACTTTACAAAAGCGTTTCGACACCTTATTTTTAAATGACCGTTTGTCCATTTATTTATTTTAAAGTAAATCTGTGCCGCCAATTCTGAGAGCCCTGCATAAACTCCCTGAGGAAATCCTGAGCGATTCTTTACATGTCCATGCCAACTTGTGTAAGTAAATTGGCACTCACACATGTAAACGAAACAGGTGTGTCACCTGGCCACATATAAACAGCACAACACATATATATATACGAGGAAAAAACACAAAAGACAGTCCTTCACATGTACCACTGAATGTATAAATTGTTTCAATCCAACTTGAGTTTTCTCCAAACATTTTAATTCCCCATTTCTGAGGCCCTCTCACGTCCTTTACATTTTTTCTTCGTTTATATTATGTGGGAATGAAGAGTCAAAATGAAACATTTCAAGTGCTTTTGTCAAGTGTTGATGAAAGTTCAAAAACCAAATGAACATTGACACAGGTGAAAATTCTATACAGACGTTTGAATGCATATATAGTGGACAAGACTTATTTTACCCAAAACTTGAAATGTAGTATAATTTATCCAAAAAGTCCTAGTAACATGTAAAAAAAGCCCCCAAAAAAATCCGCAAACAATGATTTATCCTATGATAATACCAAAAAACAAAAGTATCAAATATGAAAAATATTTAAAAACGATAAAATCGGTGAAATTAGGAACACAAGGGAATTATGAAGTTTAACAACAGACTTGCTTTACCAATCATCACAAGACATAAATATACAATGACAAAATAGTTCAAGAAAACATTATGTACGTCTAAATACCAATCTATGTTAAAGAATAATTCTTTTACAGTCCTCCCCGAAAAAAAAATTCATGCGCACTTTAAACGCTTATCGTTTTAATTAAAACGCAACTTTACTACCAAACATCCCACAGACAAATAATGCCATAAGTTAGGGTATGTTAGAAGCGAAGAAACATTTGCTTTATTGACACTGCTACAAAAATCATTATAACATTCCATGTCATTAATTTAGACTTCTTGTTTCAGTACTCTAATTGTATAAAACTAGTCACGTTATTATGTAAAACAACAGTTATTTTTGTTTCATTAGTTTGGCTGTAGAAACCAGATTAACACTGGTTCAGTGTCAACGAGCCTCGATTTGAACACTATTTCAGATTACTTCAAAATGGCTCCTGCATGTTATTTGATACAAATAAGTCAATCACACAAGGGACCCACATTTGAAAAGATCTAATAAAAGGCGTTCAATGTAGCATAGTTGATTTGTCTAATGTTGTAATAAGTATACCATTCAAGAAACGTTGAGTCTAATATAGCTACACATACATTTAGTATCCGAACAGACAGATTTCGGATATTCATTCACTTCGTTTCCCAAGGATTAAGCTCGTATTTTACACAATTTTCTGACAAATTTAGTAACTAAAATATGAGCTCACTTATCTAATAAAACAAGTTTATATATATTTAGTACATTACACGTATTCAGTAACTGAAATATGAACTCACTTATCTAATAAAACAAGTTTATATATATATTTAGTACATTACACATATTTAGTAACTGAAATATGAGCTCACTTATCTAATAAAACAAGTTTATATATATTTAGTACATTACACATATTCAGTAAATAAAAAGAGGTTTACTTCTCACTTTACGCAAATTTACTTGTTCGGTGTAATACAAACAAAAATTGATGTTTCTGAACATACTTATAGAAACATGTTAAGCGAATGTAATGTTACTTTTTAACATTAACCATCAGTGTTAAGGTACTACGAAGAGTCAGCGACGTGGAACTTCTAGAATTCATTAGCTAATTACACTATTTGTGTGTGTATCTTAAGGCTACATACATACATGTTGAAGCGTGGTACAGCTGCGGAACGGTAGATTAGGATGTTTATTTGATGTAGAGAAAGGAACAAGAATGAATGGAATGTGGACACTGATATCTAGGGAACGAGTTCACAACTTTTATATAAAGACTTCCAAAGAGCCTTTAAAATTATACAACTTTTATTGCATTACTTTAATTAGTTCATACAATTTTCAGATGAATCACGTTCCACACACGAACTTATCATATATATATATATATAACATACTGACGAAAAATTGACAGCGAAGAATAAATGCTAGAAATAGATACAAATTAATTAAATGCTTTGACAGATATTGAACAAAAGGATTACACAGACACACATACAGTTACAGCAATCTATATATAAATATATATGTATATTTACTACAGATATCTTATATAATAGAACTCTGCTTGTCTGGATAACTGATAACTTCCCCCCCCCCCCCGTTCCGGACATAGCTAGGTGGTTTGGGCACTCGACTCGCAATTTGCACCCATCTACAGTACCCTTCCGCACTTTATTCAAAACCGAAGTGGGCGGTACATCTTACAGTGGAATCGAACCAATACGACAGGCATACACAGTATGATGGTACAGGAGGTCAAGCAATTAGAATATACTAAGATGAATAGGTTATTACTTACCATTCACGTTCTCATTAGTCAAAAGCAGTTTATAAAAGTTAATAAAAATCCTGACAAGACGACAGACACCTAACACATACAAGTGGCAAACAACGATGTATCACGCTGTGGCGAACAGTTTCTTGTGGTACATTATTTACACTTGTCATATACAACCCTTCAAATAGTTTCATTATCGTAAAAACTGTTTTAAACGGTATTTTTTTTAAGCGTTTCGTTTTAATCTTTACATAAATCGCTGTATTGTTTTCAAAATGTATTGCTTCTTACTGAAGTTTATAAATAACAAAATAATAAAAATTGTTATGTTAGTTCTACCATGCTAGAAAGCCTACTTTATCTATTACTATTACACGAGCTTTTGATCAAATAAAAGCCTCTTGGTATGCATGATGAGTAGAATCACGATTTCTCTAATCAAGCCAGCATCAGTAATGAAGACGTCAGTTTGACGGTGAGGTTCGCTTGAAGCGCCTCACCGTCTACGGACTTGCATGAAATAAATGAATAATGCACGGTTTCTCGAGGCTTTCACGAGTCTCTACGTTAACGCATAAATGCAATATTCCAATCATTTCGTATGTTACCACTGCACATATAAAACCCTGCGGGACTTGAGTCGGCTAAAAAATATATATAAGCTCATTACATCACATTCCATTAAGAAAAGTTTTTAATCTATTTTCATTATACTTACACGTTATGTAAGATATGACAGAAAAACAATAGGCCATATAAACTAATGTTATTTAATAAAAACCAATACCTATACAGTGAAGAACGTTAAAGAAACTTTACCACAAGTCCAACAACAGTCCTATATATTAGGTCGTCAAGAAATTAATGTCGCTTTTTTTAGATGAAAAAACCCGAACAACTTATATAT